ACAAGGTCAAACAGTCACAAACTCCTCCATGACCGTTTCATGCTGAACAAAAGGAAGAACTTCTTTACTGTCCAAACCCCCAAGGCCTGGAACAGACTGCCACCACAGGTGGTGCAAGCACCTACTTAAGAGACATCTGGATGTTTATCTTGCTGGGATCCTTTGGCCCCAGCTGACGTCCTGGCCCTAGGGCAGGGGGCTAGACTCGATCTCCTGAGGTCCCTTCCAGCCCTAATGTCTATGAAATTCAGAGTTGCTCATTTACAGTTTTTAGTTTTAGCATCTGTATCCTACATACTGAGATATCAAGGGGAACAAAAGATTAATTTTCTTTCTTTCTTGTCAGTTATGTTTAAAGGCACTTTGCCCAGCCTCTGCACCATGAGGTGCCTCCTCCACACAAGCTGACAGGTACAGTACAGGAACCAGGGGTCTGGGTCACCCCTGCATGAAGAACCCAGCAGGCTGGCTGAGTCTTTGTTTTGCCTCCAGCCAGCAGAAGAATGGGGAGACTCCAGCTGCAGACTGCTGGGCATGGAGAAAGAGACAAGAACTCTACAGTGTAACCCACACGCGGTATAAAAAGTGTGCAAGGACCCACTACAGAGAGTTCTGGCCTGCCCAAGATGGCATTCTCTTCTTCTGCCAGGCAGGCAACTGTGTACTGGTAGGATCATCTTGCAGCTTGCCTTGCTGGAGTCACAGACACAGGTCTTCTTAAGTTCCAAAACAGGTCCTTTATTCAAAGCCCTCTTTTAACACCAAGAGCCTGCGTCCCCCGGCCTGCTCTCCTGATCCCAAGAAATCAAACAAAACCATTGCCTTTCTCCCTTCAGACTATGATGCAAAACACTGCCTTTCTTCAGACTGTAAAACAAACAGTGCATTTCTCTCTGCAAGCTACCAAGGTTTCCAGCTTCCACAAACTCCTTCTGCCTCTCTGCTCTCTTTCAGCTGGGGCCCTTTTTAAGGTTCCCAGCTGTGGACCTACCCAGCAGCCTGATCCCCTCCACCTGCACCTGATCAGCAAGCAGGGCCAAGCTGCACTTTCTAAATCCTTACAAGGTCTACACCTCGCTACATAATCACTGTCAGGATGGTGCACAAGGCGCTAGGAGAGATTATGCTGGGAGATCAGCCTGCCTTCCTCTGGGGAGGGCAGTTCACACATACATTCCCGTCAGCAAGGCTCAATAGTTTCAGCAGGCTGCCACAGATGTGGTCCTCTGTGGTTCAGAATAGAGATGAGAATTCCACCAGCTGAGGAGAAGGTCAACCTGTCTTCCCAGGACACAACACAAAGCGGCTATAAGGAGGCACTCGCCTGGTCCAGAGATGAGAATGAACAAAGACAGCTCTTGAAGGAGAACATGCTGTTTGCTCTCTCCCTGCTCTTAGCCAGTACGTGAAGTGGCCAGGAGACTGTACACAGTGCAACCCCAACTCTGAGGGTCCCACTAGACATCACTCTACAACTATGCAGTTCTGTCAGTTCTTCATCCAAAAGTGACAAGCCCAAGCCCACCAGCACTTTCCCCTTATAACTGTGTTTCATGCTGATGATGTGCACGTTTCTTTCACCTCTCACAAGGAACTCCTGACCATCCACCTTGGATTCGCCTTTGGGTTTCTGCAGCAGTGAGATCCAGTGGTGCATTTCCTCTGGGGTGTCACTGTTGCAGTGAATTACTCGATTCGCAGTGATGATCACAAAGGAATTTGGTCTGCAGGAAAACACAAGAAGCAAAATGGGTTATGTCAGGCCTCTCAGGAACTAAAACCACTGCAGAGCCAGCACCTCTACTCTCAACAGTCAGCACCTCTGCACATATGCAACGCCAATAGGACATTCTGAATCTGCAGCACAGAGGAGTGGGAACCTTTAGACACAGGACAAAGCACCCCCATAGGACTGCAATACAAACTGAAGGAGGGAAAGCATACCTGGACAGCAGAAGCTGGGCATCTTTCAAGAGCTATGTCCAAGGAACTGATAATACTATTTAACAGCTAATGCCAAGCACTGGTTCTATGTTGGGTGCATAAATAGACCTGCTATTTTTCCCTATGACTGCACAATGCAGGTGCTTCTCATGGACTCCTGCTGCCCAGCTCTGAGCCCCATGGCTTGGTTTTTCAGGTATTTAATTGTATAACTGTAGACACTGGTGAAAAGAGGGTTAAAGTCAGAGTTACCTCAGATTCCAGCAGTGTCAGCTGAGATTGGTTTGACCCTGGATTTAGTCTGAACAGTTTTACCAGAGATAAAGAGAAGGAGCTGGTCCTGCAAAAGACAAGGAGTACGGCCGTGTGCACCTTTCCCACAACGCACACAGGAGTCCTGTGGGAAAAGCCTTCTCCATTTAGAACACTGCAATGTTTTGCAGGGAAAAAGGAAAGGAGGAGAGAGCCCACATGTTGAGAGAAGCAGAGGGCTTTGGAAACCAGTGGGGAAAGGCTTCTACAAGGAGGAGACAGTGTGAACCTGAAGAGCAATGGAGTGAGGGTAAGAGTGTGAGGCTGAAAGTAACAGGTGCAACTGGACTAGTCAGTGAACAGCTGTGAAAGAATATCACTGGTAATAGCCTGGGTCAGAAATGAAACATTTTTTCTCAGTCTTTGTTTAACAGAAGTTGCCAGCTGGCACCCATGTACTTTAAAGAGACAGAATCATTCCTCAATCCCACCAGGCATTTTAAGGGGCACATCTTCAGCAGGAAGAAACTGTCATTTTCTTGAAGCCATTGGAGGTGTGATAATCACAGATGTGGAAAGCTGTCCTTAAGTGTATAGTTTAGGCAACCTAAGAGAGCCCTGCAGAGTTCAGGATTAAAAACAGAAGGGGAAAAGTCTCAGACAGAAAAGTCTGTATCCAAGGTGAATCAAATTAAGGACTAAGTATTAAGAAGCTAACTGAAATAACAGATAAAACTTTCTACCTCAATAGCTAGGAAAGATTTTTTGTTTAAGATACATAAATTCTACAGCTGTAATCTGGAAAGGCCCTGAAGCTTACAGGAAGAAAATGTAAAACTTGAGTTATGTAACAGCTAATACTGTTAGTAGGCTAAGACTGTTAGTTTTGTAGTTGATAATTAATGGTGTTAATCTCATGACATATGAAATGCTCCACAATCTGCATTCTTATTGGTTTTGTAGCAAAAAGTATAGAATAAAGAGTTGCATTGTGACACAGAAGCAGAGTCTATTCCATGTTGCTTGCTTTCACTAGGTGGCAATACAAGTAGAAATGTGATCACTATGCAGGGCAGTCTTGTCTCCTCTCTTATGATATGGTAAATGCTGTAGTCTAGTGTTTGCTAGGTCATGGGACTTCTTCTATACAAAAAGTCAGTCTTCTAATGAAGTTTCTCATAAGTTCAAGGATTTATTTACCTACGGTTCTCGCAAGACCAGCACCCCACTAGGAAGAGGTTGATAAGCAACTGGTAGCCTACAAACTGTAGCTTGAAAATAAGAGATATAATAGATCAGATCCTGCTGTTTAATTTCTCCAGTCCTGTCACAGTTCGCAACATTTAATCAACAGTTTACAGTGTCTGATTGAGGATATTATGCCTCTACCATCACAATAGATTTCATATTTTACAAAATGGTTCATAAATCCAAAACCAAGTAGATTTTGAGCCAAGAAAAGAGATACAGGATAAGTGGGTTATAAAGGACATTAAGAGGGTCCTGAGCTTTTCTTTTACGAAGCTGTTTTTGCCCAGTCTACAAAACTAAGATCCTGAATCAAAGTGATTTTGACTTGCCTATCCATGGCACCTTTGCTGGTTGTTTTTGTACAGTGGCAGGTTGTGTAAAGTCATAATTTAGCTTGTGAAAACTGATGCATACAGAAAAGAACCAAATGTTTTGGTCTGGAAACAGGCTGATGAATCCATTTTTTCCTTTTCACAGAATTTTAAACCAGAAGTGTCCATTAAACCATCTAGCCTTACCTCCCACAGAGCATAGGCTACAAAAATTCACCCAGTCTCTTCTTTCATCAGTCCAATAACTTGTGTTTAACTAGAGCAGATCTTCTACAACTGTCTCCAAACTTCATTTTAGGACATAAAGAGATGGGGAGTGCAGCACTTCCCTCGGTAGCTCATTTCAATGGATGATCAATTTCACTATAAAAAAAATATGTAGCTTGTTTCTAGCTTAAATGGCTTTAGTTTCCAGCCAGTGGGTCTAGTTTTACCTTCCTCCACTGAATTAGAGAGTCCTTCAGTGCCTGGTGTTTGTTCACCATAATCAAGGCACTTTCCTGTAAGCTTTTGAAGAAAACAAATAAGTTGGGCTCCTTAAGTCTCACTGCAAGGCATTTTCTCCAGCCCATAAGTCATTTTTCTAGTTTATCTCCTGCGCATGCTTAATTTTTCAACACCTTCTTAAAACAGGGACACCACAACCAAGGTCAGTGCCCCACAGACCAGTGAAACCACCTCCCCACACCTGCTTCCTGCTACCCTATCTATATACCCAAGGATCTTGTTAGCCATTGGGCCACAGCATTGCCCTGGGGGCTTAGGGTGAGCTGCTTCTGTTTAGGTCCCTTCCAACCCTTGAAACTATGAAATCACAGTTACTGCTTTCCAGGTTACAGTCCCCTGGTCCGGAGGTCAGGCCTCCTTTCCTTGCCCCTATCCATGCACTTCTGAATCTGTCTAACCCACCCAGGTCCCTTTGCAGGGCTGCCCTGTCCTCCTCATTTACATTCTGCCAATCTTTGCACCTTCCATACATTTTAATTAGCAGTTGCTTTATATCCATGTCCAGGTCCCTGATCAACATTCTGTGTAGCACCAGGCCTAATACCCATTCTTGTGACACACCCTTCCATCCCCAAAACAGCTCCCTTTGAAGAATTTTGCTTATTCACACCTGCTTTTTGATAACTCTCAGTTACTCAGGGCTCAATCTGTTCAAGGCAAGAGGGACAAAGAATGAACAGGGTTTGACTGACAACCTGTGGTGACTCTGAACTTGGAAATAATCTCCCTTACTTGCTCATTAATTGGGGGCCCTTCTGAAAGGCCCCTCAGAGCCCTAAGCAGCTGCTCAGCTTTTTAGAGGAACATCAGAAAGTCCCATGGCTGTTGGAGCACATGCGTGGCTGCATGGCTGGGGTCCCTCCTCAGGAGGAGGCAGGAACCAGTGCCCTAACAAATGCAACAAGACAGATATATACAGGGCAAGGAACTGAGAGGAAATGATAGTTATGTTCTGTCTCCTCCTTTCTCTCTTAGTTGGCAGGACATCAATCATCCACCTGTAGAAGCACCACTGGCAACAAGAAGAGGCAGAGGATTGATATTTGAGATCTGTCCTTATGTGCATGTGACAGTGCAGAGCTGCAGAAGCAGCTTCCCCACTGTGTGGTGCATACAAGCATGGAATACAGCAGGTAGAAGCCAACAGATAGCAGATGACTGTACTCCACCAGGAGAAGTCATGACAAGACTCAGACTGGCAGCTGACATGAGAGAAACTCCAACTATAAGAGCAGCAGCAATGTTCTGACAGGCTGGCTGGTCCCTGAATAGTGCAGATCCCCAGGCATAAATACAGCATCTCCATCACTTAGGACAGCACTTCCCAAACTCAGGGCTGAGAGTCTAATGGAAATTCTATTGCGAAAGTAGGGAATGAGTCACAAGTCTGGATGCAGAACTGCCAGCGCAAAGGCTTAGGAACTGCTCTTTGGAGCCTTCACCTTGAGGCTGGCTGTCCTTCCCAAAAACACACACTGAGCAAATGGGAAAGCAGACCCTGCTCAGAAAAGTGCTGTGGCCCAAGGTGTGCAGGCCAGACTTGATGATCAGACAGGTCTCTTAAGATCTATAATAAGGAACAGCACAGCAAGGAAGGGGCAAGGAAAAGACAACCTCACAGCCCCACACTCCAATGACTGGGAAAAGCTTTCAGGAGTTTCAACACATAGCTGAAAGGTTTATTAATTAGGGCTGTGGCACTAACAATGTGCTCAGCCAGGTGCAGAAACCACAATGACGCACAGACCTGCCCTGAGGAGCCTCCAATCCATGTTGCTGGAATGTTGTGGCACTTACCTGTCAGGATTGTCTGAGGCACAGACCGAGTCGATAAGCCCAACATCCACGGTTCCCTTCATGAGGAGAGAGACAGTTATCAGCCGCATACATGTTAAAGCAGAAGTTTCCTTTCCTAATAAAAATCAAGACCAAAACTCTGCCTGGGAGCTGCAATGTTCAGACAGCATCATGGACCGGTGCTAAAACTTGCAGCTCCCCATCCCCATCTCAAAAGAAATGTAAAAACATATTGTCAATCTCTATCCAATGCCCCTCCCCTCACCTGCACCTGAGGTTTACTGTCATCCAAACGAGCTGAACTTCACACAGTTCACCTTCAAGGAGTGGCCTCCCCAAACCCAGCAGGCCAGCCACCATTCGGTCAGCTCTGCTACACTCATGCTGCCCTGGATTCCTCCTCTGTGGAAGATTCACATCTGTCACCCTCTCAAACTCACCCCTTTAACATGTCAGCTGCTTGGCCCAGGAAAGCAGCACGCCTTCCCCATGCTCTCCAGGAACCAAAGTGCTCAGGGCATTGCATTATATCTGCACAAAAGCAACAGGCCTCTGGTGGCCCTAAACATCCAGCCTGCCACGAGTGCTGTCTGTGAGCAACTTACCACAGCGTTCTTAGGATTGGCCTGTTCATCTTGCATCTCCCTCAGCTGCTGCACTGTAGCACTGTGCACACAGCTCAGGACGTTAAACCAGCCACTGGCAATCAGAATAGAACCACAATTAAGGTTTGTGCACTGAAACTAGATCCCATAACAGGGGTGGGCAATTATCTTGGCTGGAGGGCCGCTTAACGAGATTTAGTGAGCTGTCGAGGGCTGCAAGGGTAGCCCTGCACCTTGACAGGTGCCCAGGGCTGTCCCAGGGCGGGGGTGAATCGGGGCGAGTGCCCCAGGCCCTGCAGAGCTGGGCAGAGTGGCCATGGTGACTTCGTGCCACCACTGCCAGCTTCGCATCCGGTTGCTCGGTACCCCACCTCCCGCCGGTGCCACCACGTATGGTGGCTTCTTCACATCCAGGGGGCGTGAATGCGGGGTGGGGGCAAGACCCAGCACGAGCTGATTTTCCCCAGGCCCTGCACCCTGCTCGGGTCAGCTGAGCAGGTGCCCCATCCCCTCGTCACCATCTTGGGACCAGAAGTCCTGCCCCAACCCCTGACCTCTGCCTGCAGAAGTACTCCGGGGGGGGGGGGGGCCATATTGGAACCAGATAATAAACAAACCATATGCAAAAAATCAAGCATCTACTATAATGTATTTCAGTTTTATTTCAACAAATATTTTTGTCCTGATGCACGAGTCATGCATATAGAGGTGATTGGATCATAGCTCAAAATAAAGTCTCTCTCTCATATATTGTGTGTGGGGTGTGGTTGGAGGGAGGATGGGGTTTGTGGGACAGTGTGGAGGGAGGGTGTGGGGTTTCACGGTGTGTGTGGAAGGGTGAGGATGTCAGGGAATATGCCCCTTGCCATATGCCCCCCCTCCCCCACAGTGCATAGCCTCCGTCACCAGTGGCAACAGCAGCAGCAAGCAACAGGCCCTTGGGGCACTCATGGCCCATGCAGGCAGAGCCCCTGGCAGTGTGCGGCTCTAGCCACTTGTGGGAGCTGCATGTGGTGGCAAGAAGTGGGGCCAGGCCAACCAAATTCTATCACGTGGGGCTCCCCATGTCTCACGTGAAGCTCCTGGGACCTGGCAAGAGCTGCACACCACAGCGGGTGAGCTCTGCACAATGGAGCCGGCAGCCTGACCACACTCCCCAGCAGAGCCCTGGGAGCCACACATGGCAGCAGGGAGTACGGCTGAGCCTGCCTGGCTCCACTGCATGGGGCTCCTTGCAATTTTCTGATGGAGTACCGGGACCTGCATGTGGCGGCAGGGAGCAGCAAAGGCCATAGGCTTCGCCCTGTGGGACTTCTCCCTCCGCCCAACTTCAGCTTCTCCCTGCCCCCCAGCATTTCCCTACTTGCTGTCTGGAGCGCTGCAGCAGGGACACGAGGAGGAGCTGGGGAAGCCAAGCAATTCCCCATCAGCGGCAGCAGCAGACCTGCCCAGAAGCTGCGTGCTGGCCAAGGCTCTCCCCCATGTGTGCTGCCCCCATGGGGGTGGGTGGGGCTCGGGTCCCATGTGAGCACAGCAGGGGCAGCCATGGGCCAGGCGGGATACAGTTAATTGGTGGGTGCCCGCCCATGGGCCGGATGAAATCACCTGGCAAGCTGGATCCAGATATGGGCTGTATTTTGCCCACACCTGCCCTAGAAGAACAGAGGAAGTGGAAACCCTCCCTCTGCATCACCATGCTCTGGATCACAGCCTGCTACTATTTCTAAAAGCCTAAACTTTTATAGCTGTCCTTTTATCCCTGAAACTGCTACACATGCTCCCAGGGGCCCATCCCCTTCATCCTGCTGGCAGCTACCTTTACAAGATCCGGCTACCCAATTCCAGTTCAAAGGAACTGGAAGTGGGCATAGGTTGAATGCAGAGCATATGCTATGTATTGTGTTTTCAGCCATGGCAAGACACGACTGCCTGGGATTCATTCCACTAAGAGTCCTGAGCTGCCTCAACTCCCTTATGTCTTGAACCAGCTCTTCACTCTGATCTTCTTACAAGTCCTATAACCAGACGGTTTGCAAGCAGTCAGCTTTATGAGTTAACAGAAAGGGAACGCCATGAAATTCCTTGTCTGGAAAGGGCTCCCTGTTCACACAAAAGGCTTGAGACTGACTCTCCGCTGCAGAGCCAGCAGACTGCTTATCTCTTACTGCATGTCAGATAAGCAGCCTCCTGTTTTCAGAGGCTTCACTGAACAGAAGTTCTAATGCTCCTACCATTTTCCGTTTGCTATTACAAATGTAAGTGCTGCCTCTTGCTCAGAAAGTGTGCTGCACTGGTGAGGACAAGGACTGACATTTCATGCTTGTTATGACATTCCTGCAATGCTGCTTTAGACAACTTATAACTCTTGCTGCCTGACTGAAATGATAGAAGAGAAGGATGTGAGTCATTCATTAGGCTTGCACTTAGGAGGGTTTATCAGATGCCACTGCAGTCCCGGATAAGCTGTGTCCTGGATAAAGCCCAACCCCTTCTTGAGCTGCCTCAGTCATTTACAGATACCATGAATGGCTGTATTGTTCAGTTTGGATTTTACTTAATAAATAAAAATCAACCATTAGATGTTCCAGTTTACACAGAAGTGCTCCATGAAAAGCCGTTCCTAGTAAAGTTATGCTTGACTATGTCAAACAAGAAAATAAAGGATTTGGTGTGCTCACAATACTGAGATCACCATTGAGTTCCACCAGTGGTAAAACCAGGATTGGGGCCAGGACAGGAGGGACAGAGTCCCATGCAGGAGGGGGACAGTCTCATGACTGAATGAACAGACTGAGCTCCCATCTTATTTCTGGGGTCAGGAGGCCACACTAGTGTTTATCAGTGGAGCAGAGTGGAGCAAGGCTCAGGAGTCCAGCAGCATGGTCATCTTCCTAGGGCTCCTGATCATCCCAGGGCACAACTGGGATTTGCTGCAGAAGCATCGTGTGAGAGGAGGGGGAATCTTGTGCTGAACAAATGCAGGTAACAAAATTCCCACACTTACCTGGCATCTTCTGGTGACTCTGCCACGACGTGGTAAATTCTGTCCTCTGTCACAATGTCCAAGGCGTTTTCCTTCTCATGAATATCCACAATCTCCCTGAAACAACGAACCATGCGATGGAACAAACTGAAAACCTCTCATAGCCCCCCCATTTTTTCATACTCCACCAGTCTCTCTACAAAAATTCAGGTTTTGACCTGCCTGGTACCTAGCACTTTCTGGAAACCTGGGAATTCTCTAGTCAAGAATGAGGATTTTTGAATTCCCTTTAAAAAAAGGGCTGTAGAGCCAAACTAGTACAAAATCAGAAAACAAGATGCTAGATAAATATGCTATGACTCAGGGGAGCAGAAGATAAAAGTAAAGGGGAAAGTGGGCAGCTGGGGAACTCATACCAGCAAACACTGGCCTTTCTGTGCATCTTGGTACTGTAGGTGATGGCATACAGTGTCTTTGCCTACCTCAATTCATGGGTTTCACTAGTAAGAGCCAGGGTACCTGGCTACAGCAGATAAAAGTCTGTTTAAAGGAAAGGGGGAGCCCTGCATGGTAACTACCTGCAATCACACTCCACTAGGAACCCACAACCTGTCTGGAGGAGGCCAGGTACAAACAGGATTGGGCCCAAGACAGGGTACAAGGGAAATATGATGAATTAACATCCCCTGAGCCCCCTGAGCAGCCACCATATGTGGTGAGTGTGGGGCCCCAGCTGAGGTCTGAAGTTAATCCCTGGACCCAACAAAGAAAGGGAACGTCAGGAAAGAGCAATCCATGTTCCCCATGGATGCAGTACAGTTTAACAGGGTTTTTCTTCTCTTACGCATCTGATTCTTTCAGTCCTATAGCACATCTAGGCTACTGCACAGCAGCACTGACAGTGACCTGGAGAGAGACAACTGGAATCACAGTCATAGAGCAGCTGGGCTAGCAGGGCCCTCCAGAGGTCACATCTAGACCAGCCCCCTGGTTAAGGCAGGATCATCCTCATCCAAACCAACCCAAACACGTTCTTGTCTGACCTGCTTTTCACACTACACAACAGCCATGTGCACAACAATAAGGCCCATTGCCCAAAGCCCCCAAAGGTAAAGCCAAGGAAACAATGGCCAACAGAATCCTGCCACTGCAAGGCAAGTTCACATGCACTCAAGAGATCCAGAAAGAAGGCCATGTCCCCCACTACCTAGGAAGACAACCTCTGCCCCCCTACAGTCCATACCTATCTGAACAGGGAGTAATATTCCATCCTGACGCTAATGTAGCAATTGGTCTGACTGAGTGGAGGCAAGACCACCTAACCAGGAACCTCTGGGTTTTAGTTCTGGCAGGAGCATTGACTCAAAATCCCCAGCTATGGATTCTGATAAGTTCACTTGTCTCTCTTACTTTGCCCTTCTGATGTCAATTGTCCCCTTCAGCTTCTCCTCACTGTCATTTTCAAAGTATATCAGCTTGGATTCTCGAAGCACAAACCAACGGCGTTTCCAGTTACGGCGTGACAGAGTTGACATGCCTCCCCCTTTCTTATAGAGCCAGCCAGACTTCAGGGCCTCTTGCTTGGTTCGGAACCACATGAAAGCCTCGTTCTTTAGAACACACCAGCGTCGCCTCCATGGATTCATCAGACCTCCTGCAAAATGAGAAAGTACACGATGCTGTGAATCTTGCCAGCTCATCCATTTCCTTAGCCTACTCCTTGTGAGGATGCCTTCTCAATTCAGCTCTCAGCTGCATTTCGTGGGAACAGAGGGCTGAGGGACAGAACCAAGACTAGTATTCGGTTTGTACAGGGAAAAAACGGAAGTCATCTATGAACCATACACAATGGGCAGAAATTATTTTATTAGAACTTGGTTGCAGGGATAGAGAGTACACTGATGAGATATGCAGATGACAAAACTAAATGGTACAGAAGACAGGATTAAAATTGAGTGGGATCTGGATAAATTGGAGAACTGAAGAGAAGAAAACAATTAAATACAGCAAAGACAAGTGTAAACTGCTATAAACTGAAAAGAAAAAACAAATGTATGGCCTTTAACTCCCTGCAGGGGGGTTCCAAAGAGGACGGAGCTGGACTGTTCTCAGTGGGGGCAGATGACAGAACAAGGAGCAATGGGCTCAAGTTGCAGCAAGGAAAGTTGGGGTTGGATATTAGGAAAAACTCTCTCAAGAGGAGGGTGGTGAAGCACTGGTACAGGTTACCCAGAGAGGTTGTGGAGCCTGCATCCTTGGAGGTTTTTAAGGCTTGGCTAGACAAAGCCCAGGCTGGGATGATCTAGTTTGGGATGGTCCTGCTTTGAGCAGGGGGTGGGGCTAGGTGACCCCTCAAGGTCCCTAATTTTCTATGATTCTATGAAAAACAGGATGGGAAATAACTGGCTGGGCAGCTGCAGCGCCAAGAAGGATTTGGGAGTTATAATGAATCACAAACTCAACAATGTGATGTTGTCAGAAGAAAAGCAAATTAACGTAAGTGTTGCATGCATTGTAAGAAGAATGCAGTGAACCTGGAGAAAATATAGAGGTAAGCAAAAAGGTGATAAGAGGCTGGCATGAAAAGTTAAGAGACTAAGCACACTAAAACAGTTTAGTTTGAAAACAGGAGCTTAAGAAGGAGAGGACATAAAGGAGTTTTCAAATATTTAAAAGGTTGCCATAAAAAGATGGAAAAACATTTTTCTTCTTTGCCACAGGAAGCAGGACATGTGGCACTTAGTTTAATATGCAGCATAGCAGGTTTAAATTACATTTCACGAAAAACTTCTCTTATGGAAGAAAAGTAAGACAACAAATCAGGCTGCCTGGAGGTGCTGTGAAATCCTTCCTGGAGGCTTTCAGGAAGAGGCTGAATAAGTATTTTGTCTGGGATGGTTTAGGAGCAGCAAACTGCAATCATGTGATAGTTTGGACTAGATGATCCTCCAAATCTTTCCCTACCCTATGGGAATCTATACACATGCTCCAGGGTGTGTGGGGACGTTTTGATTAAAACTCCTCTGCTGTGGGTATTAACCCCTTTAATTAACACCCTCAGCATCTCATATATTCACGGTCCTGTGTTTCAAAATGGTGCCAGGGGCACTTTCACTAAAGCTTGTTTGACACACTTAGTGAAAGCACCCCCTCTGCTATTTTGGAACATGGATACACTGACTACGCATGACAGTGAGGGTGCTGAAGCATTCCCATTTCTTATTTGAACACATTGGAGCAGGCGTCCCGCACATGCACAGGCACCCTGTGATTCTAGGTTCACTCCTGTTTTGTGTTTTAAAAGTTGCTGAATTTGTTGCGTCTTATTTCATGATTTGCAATTTCTCTGAAGTTCCAAGATGCTATGAAAAATATGCATCCCGGAGTTTTTATGGTCTGCTGGAAACCAGGAGCATTGCAAGGCTGAAGAATGAAAACAGGCCTCACTGAATCATAGGGAGCTGTAGAGAAGTCAGGCTGGAAGGAACCTCAGGAGGTCATCTCGTTCAACTCCCTGCCTGGGGCAGGATCATCATGACATTTCCAGTTTAAAGATGGATGAGATCTGCCAAAAAGCAGAATATGACTGACCCACAGAACCTTCTGCAGTTTCTCCATCAGTGCATGCTGACACCATTCATTTGGGCATTCCCACAGAGTAAAATCTTCCTCAGATTCACTGCTTTCCCAAGTATGGTTCCTCACTGTGAAAGTGCAGACAACTTTTTTCATTCCTAGATATATGCACATACACTTGATCATATTAGAATACATGTTGTTTGAACTGGCCCCAACTCAGAAAGTGATCCAGATCATTCTGCATGATTACCTTGTCCTCATCATTATCTACCTTCCTGCCAGTCTGTGTGTCAGTCACAAATTTTAATTAGCCACGGTTAAAATACTTCCAGGTCATTGAAGAAAATGCTGAATTGCATCTGCTCTTGTATCATGTAAGCTTTATATAGTACTATTTTTTTAAATCAGAATGTTGCCAAACACTGATAAAACACATACAGTCACCTTTATTGGTTATCCTCATAATCTCTCACCAGTGAAGGAAATCACATGATGTGATTTTTTTTCCAACAAACATGCTGAACTGTCATGGATCTTATTCCTAGCCTTGAATTCTTAGGACTAGTTGAATCCTATATCAGTTTTTCCTTTCCCCTTTTTTCACCAAGGCAGTTGTCTATCATTATTTCGGGCATTCTGCTTGCCTTTTTAAAAACAGTGATAACGTTAATGGTCTTCTAGAACTTCCCCATATTTTGAGATTTATTTAAAAATTAGCACTTGTTAGGCCACAGACCTCCTGAAATAATTTTAGCCAATTCTGCTGAGCATAGTCACGAACTCCAAGGGTGCTCCTGGGCTCAAGCACCCACCAAAAAAAGTTAGCAGGTATTCAGCACCCACAAGCCATACTGCGTGAGCCGGGCTGAAGTAATGCACTGCCTCCTTTGGGCATGCACAGACGTTGGTGCAGGAATGCAAAAAAAAAAAATCACCCACCGGCAAAGACCAAAGTCGGTGCTTATGTTTTTGAGACTCCCAAGTATAAATTATCTACTTAAACATCCTCTCCTACTGCCAATGGCCTGGAAGGTAGCTAATTATTCCCAGATAACAGGAGTACATCATCCTGAATCGGAAATGAACACAACTGTCTTTTCTGAATCATTAGCAACAATTTTGAATGTGTTCAGTGATGGCACCCTGCAGATTCACACCATGGCAACAGCATTCTCAGGATTAGTTTTCATTCCACACTTCATAAATCATAATTTTTTGTTAGGTTTTAAGTGCTGCTGCACACTGAGCAGAGGTTTTTTGTTTCTTTGTGGAGCAAATACAGTCAAGAGACAACCTGGCCATATGCAAGAGTTTATAAAGTGTTCTTGACCTTTCTTAACACTGAATTTTAACAACCACCACGTTGCCTGCTAAGCTTGATTGGTAGGTCTCTGAGGTCCCTCAGATTTTATTTTTGACTTATCTAATAACATTGAGAGAGAGATTTTTACCACCTCACTGTTCTCTATTTTCTATAGTTCATGACTAAGTATCTTAACACTACTGGTCCTGTAAACGTTTTACCATGAAGAAAAACTGGCAGCCTTCAGAATGATATATTTCAGCCAAACCACAATAGCTTGTTTGGGAGGAAAATAAAAGCAGCATCTCTACAGTCCCAACACTTTCTCCCTGCAAAACTTCAAATCCATGCAATAAATAATAGTGGCACTAGACTCCTTTCTAAAAGATTCTTGCAACCATTTGTGAAAGTATTAGGCAGCCTAGGTACAGTGGCCACTGCCACTTCCTCCATACCAAAATCTGGAGCTGAGAAGGTAAACTAAAAGCTCTTATTTACTGTCATCATCCAGGAGCAAAGGGGCAGCTGATAAATCTGAAAGGCAGAACATTTAAACCTGACAAAAGGATTCTCCCTTCCATACCTGAGCTGCCTGTGCACTCCACCGTTACACATGCTGCTGAGGGCAATCCCTTGGTGGGAGCCAAGCAGGGAGAGGGGTTCAAAACCTCTTACGGAAAACAACCTCCAGTTGGGCTCAGGCACTCATTTCTCTGAGGCTCCTCAGAAAATCACAGCTGCTGAAGCAACAGATTTATAGGGATGACAACAACTATGAGCATGCCTAGGATTTTGAAAAGTGGGGTGCCGATGGGTAGGGGTGCATTGTCACATGTAACACAACACATATTCTTCTCTACATACAAAGAAACTAGAAGCTTTACTAATATGCTAGGGCTATATTATTCAGTTCAAGACTGAAGCAAAAACAAATATCACATACTTGGAATTGTATACAAATACAGCAAACTCGGAAAAAAGTAAAGCAAAAGATGCTGTTTCCTTTGGTCCTATTGTCATTCAAGTTACATGTACATCTCTTTCAGATTCCTAAAAGAAATTCTAGCCTTCTTGAGCATCTTAATGTGCTTCACTGGAAGTTATTTCCAGATGTGAGCTGATGTTCACCTGAGCAAAAGTTTCCACTCCTGAGTTCCTGTTTTTAGCTAGAGTTAAAAACAGTATGCGGGGCTCTGAAGTAGGGGCTACATTACCAGAAGCAGCCAACAGACAGCTAAACTGCAGAATGAAGCCTCGACTGATTAGTGGAAAAACAAAAAAAAAAGAGAGGGTTGTTAGGACCTGTGGAATAAAGAGCATAGAAGGAATCAGGTAGATTACGAGCCACAAAGTCAAGTGACTCCCTCACTGCTGCCTGAACAGAAATGCTGCTGCCACTGCCAGGCAGTTAGTTTTAAACTTTGGGTGAAGCAACAGTCAAAGAGGGATGCGAATGCACTGCTGCAACCTGGATCTGCCCCTGACAACAACCTCCAATGATGCAGAATAAAAGATTCAAAACCAAAAGGGAACAAGCCCTTCTGCTTCAATGCATCTCTCTCTCTCTCTCTCTCTCTCTCTCTCTCACACTCACACTCACACAGTACAGGGATAAGGAATACAATTCCCTGCTGGGCAGGTTATTATTCTACATTCTCCCACCAAGGGGCTTCCTGTTCCTTCCTCCATGGTAGCTGGTAACTGGGTAAACTGGACCCATGACTTAGAAGGTCTTCTGCTATGGGAAGTCTTACCTCCTGAAGGAGGAAGCA